GAGCCCCTCATAATGGGCACAGCAGGTGTGCAGACCCAGGACAGAGTCCCAGGGAGATGCCAGTGATTATGTTCTGTAAAAGTCACCTGTGGCAACCAACAAAATCTCACAAGTAGGTGGAGCCAGAGAGACCCAGAAAAATGAGTCATAAAAGAAAGTTGAAAGGTTATTAAATATAATTGCAGCCAATATCTTACAGACAAGACGATGATCTATTGGTAAACGTGATAAATGTTATACTGGCAGCTTAAAAACACCTTATTACCTACAAAAGGACGCATAACTATTCACAAATTAGACAAGTATTAACATAAAATGAAAGAAAATATGGATATTGAAGAGGCTCTGTTTTCGTGTACCGTCATCCCAAAACTATTAGTTGCAACCACGGATTAGAAATAAGGGGACTTTCGGGGTACCTAGATCCACTTTCAACACCATTGTCAATTTGATTGATGACTGGCCATTAGACATGTGTGATTCGTTTCATTCGGAATCAAAATTCGGACAAATTTACCGAAATTCGGACACATCCGGATTTCGGAATCCCAATGCATCCGAATCCAAATTTCGTTTGAAAACTAAATTGAATCGGACATGTGACTGCTCTGGCCAATCAGATGTGTTTTTCGGTATAATGCATCTGAATGGGTCTGAACAAGAATTTTCGTTAGGTCAACATGGGAGCCATATACAGTATATACGTATAATACTAAAGCTGAGGCTCCAAGACCCAAATGGTATTTGGGAGCTCCCGTTGCAACTCGGAAATTCGAATCCTGAATGCTATTTGGGTCTGGGAGCCTCAGCTTCAGTATTAATATCTGTATATGTTTTTTTGTGGCATTCGCAACGAATATTCGTAAAATCATCCGAAACTAACGAAAATTTTCCGAAGCTGGAACCCGAACCAAATTGAATTTCGGATCCGAGCCCCGAAATAACAAAATATTCGAACCAAACTAAACCGAACTAAATTTGTTTTAACCGAACTAAATTTGTAATAAGGTTTTATATGGATTACCCAATGGTTTTTTGTACTCATTTTGATCCATGTATTGATCATTTTAGATACAATGATGAACTATTCTTCCTCTCTAGTGGTCCCCTTGCTGGCCCCTTCCCCTACAGGCAATTTCACAGGACAAATAACTCTGTGAATTCTTTATAAAGACACCCTTTAGAGCAGCGGTCGCCAACCAATTTAAACAAAATTAATATTAGTGGTCCGCAGGATTTAAAATTCTGAATTTAGTGGTCCACGATGTCCGAAAGGTTGACGAGCGCTGCTCACCTGGGCTATTTTCACCACGTGTCTCATTTATGCTCCGGATACTGGAAATGAAGACCCAATAGAGGTAAGTAAAGTACACAGATGTGGTTAGCAGACAACATGGTGATTGTGAGCCAGGAGGTGCTTGTTTTGTAATCAGTGCATAGTTTGACTTCCTTGTGCAGTTGATATTTTAACAATTTTCTTTGTAATAATGTTTTAATTGACAAAGTGAATCCAGACACCCGGAAATTCCCCTCACTTTCCTTTCTGTGGTTGCAACTAATTAAACAAGTAACATGTTTTCCGTTGAGTTGGCCAGTATCTGGATCAATGTTACAACATAATACTAAAATCACTCAGCCATCCAGAATTATTCTTTGCAGTGTTCAGACACAGATCATCATTAGGAGTTCCAACTCTGCAACTTCTGGGCTCTAGAATCCTATGGTCCTCCTTCACATCGGACAGATCCATCTTGAGCCGTTGGCTATTTACAGCCCGTTCCAGATGGAATCCAGTGCAAAATGCTTTGTAGTCTATACAAGGGCAGGATTCATATATACAAAGCTGTCGCCTTGTAGACAGGCTATGCTAATGCTGCATGGAACCTTAATGGCAAGCACCAGAAGATGCTATAAAATATCCAGTTCTACAATGTTTTCTTTTTTTCCATTTGAATTCCTTGGATACATCTGACCTCTGATTGGCTTCTTCCAGTATAAGGAGCTATTCCATATAGAAGTCCAATAGCCTGCAGGGACAATCAGTGCGATATTCTGCATTTAGATGTTCTCTCTGAGCCTTTTAGGTGCAAACCTGTGAAACAGGAGATACAGGAGGGCAGGTTAGAGATGGATTTACTGACTAGCTTATCAATGGGGTCAATTCACAAAGCTCAGCGTTATGAGATTAGAAGTTAATAATGCGCTCTGCAGCCCCGAGGCCGGGTCTCGGTGGCCTTGTGGGAAATCCGGGCCTGAACGCAACAACCACAAAGAATCTTTTTCTTTACATAGATGTTTATTGGGTGTGCCAAAATAAGACGGGTCAAGTCTTCATGGGAACGGGTCAAGTACACAAATACAGTGGTACCTCGGTCCACGAACGCTTCTGTGGAACAGGAAGTTCAGCAAAATTTTGCTTCCGTTTGTGAACTCCGCAACGGGTGACGAACACAAACTCAGCCATCTTCCCTGCTCTGACACATGGCCGTGGCTTCCTCTAGTCGAGATCACAGTCTGATCGGTTCGCAACCAATTCGGTTCGCGCCCAGAATCGTGGAACGAATCAAGTTCGTGAACCGAGGTACCACTGTAATATGTCCGACCACATGAAGGTGTGATAAGGATAAGTTGAGAGTGTGCTACTTGACCTCAAGAACTGATATCCAGTTTTCAGATACAAGGAAGAGAAGAGAGAGGGGGGACCATGGAGCCCCCTTACTCACGACAGAAGAAGGAAACTAATGAGAAGCAAGGCAGAAGTGAGAAGTGAAGGAGAAAGGAAAGGGGAGTAGGAAATAAAGGGGAAGGGTGATGGGGACTGCCTGTAACCTTCGGGAGACCAATCACAAATCTCACAAAGGGAAAAAATAATGGGTCAGATATGTATATATATATATATAAAACTATAATGCAGACACTGGGATCTATACTGGTGCCTGCTGGGGGGGGGGCTTGAGATCTATACTG